TATGACTTTTTAATGACTTTCATAGACATACTATTCTCTGACTTTTGAATGTCTTTTATAGACATACTATACTATGACTTTTGAATGTCTTTTATAGACATACTATACTATGACTTTTTAATGACTTTCATAGACATACTATTCTATGACTTTTGAATGTCTTTTATAGACATACTATACTATGACTTTTTAATGACTTTCATAGACATACTATACTATGACTTTTGAATGTCTTTTATAGACATACTATACTATGACTTTTTAACTATTTTTATGACTTGGATGTGACTATATAAATATATGAATATGATGATTAGAATATGGATTGAGTATCCTGCTATATTTGGTTTGTTATTAAGGAACTACTTATGTATTCCAAACTCAGTATCTCGCCTGCTTGTCATAATCATGAAAGAATGAGGTATCACTTAGTAGCCCAACTACTCGGCATGATGTACCACTAATGAGGTGACACATAAAGAGTAACAAGTGATTAGGTGACCTAATGAATAATAAATGTGTCGTTAGTACCGCTCAGCAAAAGTGGTCTTTATTCCGATTCACAGATATTTATAACGAATCATTGCGTCATGATTGTAACTAATCATTACCTACTTTAGTACTCACATTTATGTCTGTACCGCAGTGTAACCGAAACACATTTGCAGTCATGCGTCTTGACCAGGCTTTAGTGTTGCTCTCCCTCAATATACTCGTGTACTTGCGTAGCAAGGCTTCTACAACACAAATCTGTTTGCAGGGGAGATTGATGTCTCCACAGTTGCTTAGTTCACCCACAAGAGGTCGCCACCACATAGGCTGCCACAACTTCTATCAACCGACAGCCATGCAGTTGTCGTTGGATGACCCACATCCATAAATATGATACTGACACCAACAGATGAACACTAATATTACAACGTCTTTGGGTCAGATATACTGCAGTGTGCTATGTAAAGACACTGTTGCTATATTTGTGAGTTGAGTGTAGACTTGAGTGTACAGTCTTAATGTGTGTAAATGTGTGTAGAGCCTTCGCCAAGCACAGCACCCAAACACAGCTAAACATTCAGTGCTGCGTAAATGCTGAGAAGTCACAAGTTATGTCTAAGCTAATATTACTGAAATTAGGATTTTAATCTTAAAGTTTGGGTTTATTCACATCCATATAGGACAAAAAAGGAAATCACAATGGTGTCAGCTGCAGTAAGGTCCCGTTGAGGTTGGATGATGCATAAGGCGTTATCGCAGTCCCAGTGTTGTATTCCAGTCCAACACATGATGTCAGCTCAACTGCTTGCTGCACACTAGGCTAGCAGCTTTCAAACATTTATCATTTGAGGTTATTGGTTGAATGCTTGCCACTGACATGTTTTCACTTGGGAGGCATCAGATGGGAAAACATAACAATCCAGCAGCCATCAGCACATAACTGAATCTGAAGTCACAATTACACTTGAGACCTTAGAGATAGCATTACATGGGCAGCATTTAATGCCTCGTGTTGAACTATCCACTGAATTCTGTTAACACTAATACTTACAATTCTATTTGGATAAGTGTTTCCTTTCTGATAATTCAATAGTAGTGTGATGAGTGTTATTTCGCAGCTTTAGTATGCAAGAGTTATTGGGTTGTGTTACCTCTTTCCCGACGATGTCTCTCTGTAATATCAGTGGCGGAAGAGAGTGTTTGTTATATTATGTATAGGGGCTACGTCATTACCCTAAAGACAGTGTTCTACAGTGTTGAGTTGGGCTTAAGGGGAGGAGGGGTTTGAGTTTAAAGGGCTCTTGCCTACACATTAGGCCCGATGAATCATACTTACATACTGAATGCAATATGGCACAGCAGACTGCTTCAGTATGTGTGATGTGTGTATATGTATGTATGTATGTATATTGTCTATCTAATTTACCACCTTCAAAGCTGAGATACCCTCGTTAGACAGGATACAGGTCTGTTTTTGCTTCTAAACTGTGACCTGAGTGTCTTTTTATTACGAGTATATACATTTTTATTAACATTGCAAAAGTTTGATAGCATCATGATATTAAATTACTGCAAATACATTCCAATAGCATGCCCACAGAATAGGATCTATGCTGTCAAATCATTTTGATTATAAAATACATCAAACAAATTGCATTGCATTTCTATTGTGGTTGTGAGGCAGTGTGTGTAAGTGACAACCGACTTTCACAGTGAAGGGATTAGGCAGACGTTGAGCATGAGTCCAAACGAAAGTGACAAATATTAACAGAGCCAGAAATCAATTGAGAGAGAGAGAGAGAGAGAGATGGGATAACACAGGGCAAAACCCATTATCAACCATTGCTCAAATTGAGATATTTGAATAGCTAAGCCGAGGGTCTTTCTGCGTATTTGAAGTGCCTCTATCCTCTAATTGATCTGACTGCAACCAGGCCACAGCATTTCCTCTTTGGGCTGTGACAGAGATTCAAGGGGGTGCTTACTGCATTTAGAAATCAATGACAATTAGTGAGAATTTCTCTGGGCAACTTTCTAATTCTCAACGGTCCTAATGTAATGTTGTGAGGCTGATGGAACGGCACTGGGTTTTTAAGAAGGTTAATTGTCAATATTCAATATTTAACAAAAACATTGGGAAGTCTGAAAAAATGTATATACAGTAAATATATATATTTTTTAAAGTTAGTATATTCTTACAGTAAGTAAGTGAAAACTGTTGTATAATATTTCAGTTTTTAGTTGTTAGTTTACAGTTTGTTAAAACGAACAACAGAAAAGAATCTCCAATTATTGATTATCTGGCAGTGCACAAAACTTTGAGCAGCTGCAAAACTTGGATCTCAGAGAGGTTCATAAATTCACTTTTACAATCAGGCCATATGAGAGATATTCAACGGGCTACATGTTTGAGAAACAGCTCATTGGAAAACAATACAGGCATCTGAGACTTAGCTTAACTGTATTATAATATGGAATTGTTTATACGGGTATTAAACCTTTACAGACAAGATTTTATACATAGGAATCACTGTAGCTTTTATCATTAGAAATACAGCACATTTTAATACAGCACACTTACAATAATTGACCATAAAGGAGGAAAAACTCGCATTTTAACGTTTTAACGTTTAACATGTTAGCTAGACCCAGAAGGCACCTGTTGATCATGTAACTTCGCAGGTTATGTTTGATTTGGGTTACTTAGCTGCTCGCCGGGTGGTGCATTAAAACAGTGAAGGTAGATGCAACCCTTTTTTATCTATGCCAAGGTAAAACAATGTTTAAAGTAATCCACAATGATGTAAATCTCTGTTATATTGCATTGACGTCCTCTTCAGAGACTGCGAGCCCTGTGACTACAGCTCCTGCCAATCAGCTAGTGAACATTTACACTTGGAACTATATATATACTATACTATTATATATACTTTTCCAGATGTGAACTGAGTGCAGAGTATCTCCTACCTGGAGCTCTGCCATCCTGCAGTTCCAGACACACCTGCAGCTTATTCTGCTGATTTCTTTTTTTCATCGTTCCAGTTTATCGTTACTTTTTCATGTACTTTACTCTTTAACAGGTGCAATTTGAAATACTTGAGACAAAAAATATGTGAGTAAAAGTACAAGTACACAAAAAAAAACTGACTTTGTTGCAGTAATGAGAGAGTAAATCAAATGATTCCACCCCTGGGTATAATGATACACTCAGCTCACAGTTCTATGCTACATAATGCAGAACTCACTCAGAGTTAGACATATTCACAATATTTTCAACAAAGTTTGAATTATCAACAAATACCACAAACATATGCTTTAGTTGCCACAGGTGGGAAAAAAAATGAAATGGGAAGGTTTGGCAGACATATTAAGTAAGAACAATTTGCAACGTTGCAGACATGTTCATTAAAAACATTTCTTAATTTTGATGACTGGTTTCTTTTAAATTTGCTGATGCAAATGATCTGATTTAGTTTAAGATACGAGTGACCACTAGTGCCACTATGGAAGAATGTTTTAGAGAGCAGGTCCCATTTACTGTAGATTTCATTCAGTGCATGTGCATGAGAACGAAGGCCACACGATTGTTGCTCAAACAATAGGTGATACAGTAACGTGACGCAGAAGTGCAGTCATATTAGTATGTCTATAACGTAATATGACATAATATGATTGTTTAGGCCCAACTCGTTTCAGCCTTCCTGGTATCTTGTTTGTCCAAATGTATGTCCTACGATAGTGTTGCCAGATTTGAACTTGGTACAGCAGCACTACCCATATAAATGAATCATGTCCAGCAATACTGGGATGGACACACCTCACTATCGAACAGGTCAGTAGAAAATTACCTCTGGTATGTAATCTGTATACAGGAGGCTTTGAAGTAGGAGCTCTCTGCCTTTCTTCTATTTCCTCTCTCGGTGCAAATCTAATTTTCAGCGTCCTGTCTGTGCAGTTCATTCAGACCAATGGGTTTCAGGTCTCACTTTAGGCAGCTAAAAATACTTTATCTTTATTCACTGAGCATTGAATCCGACTTGTAATTCACTTTGACTGGCCCCATCAATGTCTTCTTTGTAGAAAGATACTAGAAGACCATGCTGACATTTTCAAGAATCCACTGGATTTCTAAAGCAGCCACAGAGATGTTAAGCACTCCAGTGACAAAGTTCCTCCAGAGCCACAGAAGATATTATATAACTGTTTTCTGAGGCTGAGTATTACCTATCTGTGGCTAGAAAGTCTACTTTGTGGAGTGCCTCTATGAGGTCAGGAGAACAATGTGATCTTGGTTAAATTTACGGGTTTTTGCGGCCTGGTAAGAACGTGACAACTTCCTGCATTTGGACTAATAATTCTGATAAAAATAAAGTGTAAAAGACAAGGTTGGTAAATGAGTACGTAGGTAATGAGTGGCTAAGTGACTGCCTATTGACTACTGGATAATGAATTCATAAACAGTCTTAACTGGTTGAAGTGGTTTTGAGGACTCTCCACCAATGTGCTATTAGACTGACAGACACAGACAAATGCAACACAATCCAAACTGTGTGCACATACAAACAACACACACACACACACACACACACACATACAAACACAATTTAAAGTAAGCATTTTAGCTCTCAACTGTCTGTCTCTGTAAGCAAAACAGCAAAAAAGCAAAAAACATTTTCCATTCTTTGTACAGTACTTTGTGAATGACTCATAGTTTTCTCTGTGAGAACTTGGGCTCAGCATGGAATTGGGAGCTTGCACGTACCAACACATCTTTGATTGTTGGTATAGTTCTTGATCCCTTGCTTGTCATCGTGCCTTGAGCTTCAATTCAGGCCTATCAAATAAGAGCTGACTTTGTAATAACAAGTGCAGCAGATACTCAGCCACAATGCACTTTATCTTATTGATTACATCAATTAACTTTACCACGGCTAGCCCTCTAGCCGTGGTAAAGCCGACAGTGAACAAGGATCAGTCTCTGCCTCTGCTGATGGGCTGGTTGTTTCACTGGTGTGGTGGGAGTGGTGAAAACTGGAGTTTGTACACATTGCTCCTCCCATGTTCACTCTCTCCCTCACTCTCTGTTTTGTTGGGGTACAACAGCTCCTGTTCCCGAGGGCCAGCCACTCTTAAGATCTCTCCCACTCACAGCACATTCCCTTGCTCTCTCTCTCTCTCTCTCTCTCTCTCCCTTCCTTTGCTGCTCCCCTGTTTCCTGCTGTGTTTCCTCATCCCTTCTTCAGAGCCACCTCTCTCCCTCTCTCAACTAGGATCTACAAACCAGCTCTTCAAGGTAAGAAACAAACACACCTCATCTCTCTCACATGCAATCATTTACCAGGTAACAGCGGTTTCATTGTGTGAATCGATTTACTGTGTTGTATGATACAAGTGTAGGCGTGTGTTAGTTTCACTTCTTTGCCCTCATGAGGACCAGTCCCTACAAGCAAAGAAAACAACATGTGCCAATTGTAGGGATAATGTCAGTGATGTTAGTGTTAAATATATTACAATAGAAACTTAAGGCATAGACTTGCTGATTCCTTTGGTTGACATATAATTGAAGTCAAACTAAATAACTACTTTTGTTGCTTACTGTATTTTGTTTACCTTGTGGGTGGTGAAACGAACAATATCTGTCAAAACTTACATCAAAGGGAGGAACGGATTAACCCCTTCTTTAGGTGTGTTAAAGCAGAACAAACTACAATTATAGTCTCTAAGAGTTGTTATGTGAAATATTTGGTTTCTAGTGTAGTAAGCTTGAACCATTATTATGGACAGTCGCTGAAAGTCACTGGCATTGTTCAAGCAACCTGGACCCAACAGGAGACATGTGAAATCCGCCGAATTTATAAACCTGGACTATCAACTATGTCACAGACACGCCAGTGAAGTGTTGCGCCAAATTCAGCCACATTATGTCAGAGGCATGTTTGTTGACATGTCCTCAGGTTATAATCCCACGTCAAACTGCTTTTACCGGCATGTTTTTACCTGAAGCTTCTGTGGACGCTGCTGTAACGTAATAGAAAAACAAGCATTGTCACTACTGTTTCATTACAGTCTGCTGACAACGGATGAGACAATTTTTTTAGGGAGGGTTTAGGCAGCTTTAAAAGAAGCTTAAAAAGCAGTTTGACAGTTTGATAATAAAGCCGATGATAAAGCTGAGACGGCACTGCCTAACAGCTGTAGTCTGACACAAGGCTCCATTTATGACCTCCCATTGCCGTAAAGACTTAGAGTTAAAGCAAAGGATGGTTGAATAATATCTATTGTTATTGTTTATATTCATTCATTTATTTCATCATGACTCTATGAAGAAATATATTATATTTTAAATTATTCAGTCTATGCTATTGCATGACATGGCATTGCTAGGCTTAGTTGTAGTAGTAAATATAGATTATCTTAATATATAGCGCAATTATAGCATGCATAAGTAAGAACTAAGGCATAAATACAATGAAAGTAAACTACACTACACCAGGAAATTGGAATGAAAAGAAAATGTGTTTCGTGTTACGGAGTTTGTGTGTGACCCATAATTGCAGCCACATCGCGCTTCTTTAGGACTACACAAGAAATGCATGTATAAATCCACATGGTGGATCTGGCATGAAACGTTGTTTTTGCTCATTGAGTATACACTTGAAACTGAAACAGAGCAGTTTCTGGCACGACGTGTTTATTTATTCTATTTCCTGGAGCTTGTCATCGTGTGTGTTTCTTCTAAATATCAGTGTTTGCACTGAATGTTTCTTTAAAGCCATCAGGAAGAGTTTAGCACAAAACAAGTCCATTGAGCTTCATTGGCAGGTCTCCCCGCCCAGTTGCGCAATATTGAACTGTGGCAGCAATCTTATGTCGGATGTTATAATATAGTTCTGCATCAAGTTTAAATAAACAGTACAACAAATTGTGGGACTAAAGTATCTCATTGAGGTTATCAATGTCCATGATAAAAAAGTAAGCATTTCTGAGAAACTGAGAAAACAACTCTACAGACAGCCGATCCACAATTTCCCTCCTGATTCTGTTTCCTTTGCCTCTAAAGCGTGTGTTAAACCTGATGGTATTGCTTAGTACATCTATACTATTAATGCTGCCTGCCAATGTTTTTTTCATCCTAAAGTAAATAAAGTACACTATTATTGCTCATCATCACTTTTCAAACCTCTTCACCGGTCATCACTTTGAGAGCTAAAATGCTTTTAGTGAAACATTTCTATTTCTTGCCAACAGGAAATGGCTTCTAAACAGCATATGGGCTACAAGTGTCGCATAGCAGGAGTGCTGCTTCTCCTTTTGGCCAGTATTGCTGCCCTTGTTGCTGTCGTTGTCATCCAAGACACCTGGAAGTCCAAAGAGTACAGCTTCGAGGTGAACATATACACGCGTACATAAACGTGAACGGGTAGGCACTATTTGGCTGCAGATATTTCTCAGTTTTAACAAAGTAAACAGGAGAGACAGGAATACAAACACACACTCCCACACACTCTCAGATGTGAATGTGGTGCAAAATGTATTCCAGATGTCAAGGTCAGGATAGAAGGTTTTCTCATCAGTCAGCTTGGTGATGTGTGTATTTTTTTTAAAGTGGTGGTGAGGGTCGCAGCAGCCTCTCTGTAGTTTAATTCAATCTTTATGGCATCAGCTCTTTGCCATATTAACAGCATAACGTAGGGATTTTAGATATTTTATGAATCAATGTAAGAAGTGCCATCACATAGACCAAATGTGACCCTGTAACATGATTCGTTTTCTCTTTACTCTTCTCTGCAGTATGGCATAGTGATAGACGCAGGTTCATCACGTTCCAATGTGTACCTGTACAAGTGGCCAGGGGAGAAGGAGAATGAAACAGGAGTTGTGACTGAGACAATGAACTGCAAAGTTTTGGGTGAGTCATTGTCTCCGGACCAATTGCAGCTTTGTTCTGTAACAGTGACATAAAAATAAAAATGTATCTGTCTGGCAGAGAGTACCACTTAGTATGCGTGACAATAAACTTGAACTTGAACTAAAAGTTCTACATCTCTTAGAATTGAATTACAAAAAATGCTTGAAAATATTCTAAAATTAAGGATTTAGGATTAGAGTTAATTGAAGAACGGTGGGTAATGCAGAGAAAAATAAAAGCCAAACCGTGCTGAACACATTTTGAAATACTCCAACAACCTTTGCTGAACACTTGTTGTTTTCAGTGCCTGTGCTTCAGAAGACAATTTTAGCTTGGCCTTGTGCCCACAGGTGCTGGAATCTCAGACATGAAAGTTGACCCACAGAAAGATGCCGAATCGTGGGATGGATTCAAGCAATGCATGGACAACGTCACAAATGCCATTCCTGTTATAAAACACAAAACCACACTTCTCTTTCTGGGAGCTACTGCTGGAATGAGACTGCTACAGTAAGAATGTGTTACGATAAACTAGCTTCAGGGTAATCCCTCACCATTACTTAGGATGTGTTGGAGAGTGACCGGAAGGATGAGACCAATTTAAACCCTTATTAATTCATGACATGTTTTTTTATCAAATCCCTCTCTATTTCCTCTTACTTTCAGTCTTTATATCAGGCTCCTGGTCAACTCTAGCTTCACATGTAGTGTACAGACACGAGAGTACTATCAATCTGTCTAATTAACTTTTAGCAAGAGAGCGAAAAATTGAAACTTTTTCTGCCATGACATGGGCTCCATATGTCACTGCTAATGACCACTCTTGTGTCAAGTCAGATCTATAATTATCTTCCCTTTTCTGCTTTGCTTTAAGTCAGAAGGATGAACAAAAGTCCAATGAAATCCTGGGAAGTCTCAGAGAATACCTGGAAGCTTTGCCTTTCAACTTCCAAAATGCTTCCATCATGAGTGGTCAAAAAGAAGGGCTGTACGGGTGGATCACTGTCAACTACCTGATGGGAAACTTCCTAGAGGTAAGATGCTGTCATTATTCCATCTGGTCTATGTAGGTCAACGTGTACTTCTCCCTTTAAAAAAAAGAAAGGAATGCTGCTTTACAAACCGGGCCATTACATTGCTCCTCTGATACTAACCTTTCTCATTGTATTTGTAGAAAAACCTTTGGAACATCTACGCACACCCAGAAGGGGAAAAGACTGTAGGGTCAATGGACCTTGGTGGAGCATCAACACAGATCGCCTTTTCAGTCCAGGATGATTTATGGGGACCTGACTACATTCATGTCAAACTGTACGGTTACCCTTACAATGTCTACACACACAGTTTCCTCTGCTATGGCAAAAATGAGGCTGAGAAGAGGATTCTGGACAAAATAGTTAAGGTACACATCTTTTCTTTCTGTCTTTTGCGCGTGTGTTCAGAAGAAATTGAAGGTCATATCTTCCACATACTGTAAGGGTGATAGTTATTTTCTGAGACCTCTCCCTTGATCATTTTCTATGTTCATGTTTAAGTGCTTGTGTGTGTGGTGAGCGTGGCAGTGGGAGTGTATGTTCTTTTGCATGCATGTGCAGGCCAAAACCCATTAATGCACAGTTAAGAATTGATTAGTGAACACTGCTGTCCCTGAGTTACTAACAGGCAAAGGGAGACAAGTCAAGAATGCATTATGTCATTAAGAATATCGATCGACCCGTGTATGTCGTCAAGCTAATTTGCGAGAAATGCATTATTTCTGGCAGCGTATGGCTTATAGCATATGCTCTGTAGAGAGAATATGTTATGGGTATACATTTGCAGCAGGATCCTGGTATAACACATTAGCTCAAAGGTTTAATTTACATTAGGATCTGTATGTAAATGAATGTGTAATTCAAGTAAATAAGTCATGATAGATGGTGTCTGTAAATGCGCAAGTAATACTGTTCTTATCTCATATGCCCATGTCTCTTCCTGTCACTCTCTTTCTCGTAGTTTTATTTCCTCCTCAGCATCCATTCCTTCTTTTGACATTTTCTTCCTTTTCTTGACATTCCAGGAATCATCTGACCCATCTTACATTATTAACCCATGCTTCGCTGAAGGTTACAACGTCACCATGAACGCCATGGACATTTATGACACAGAGTGTACAATGAAGCCAGACGACTACAACCCAGATCAAGAACTCTTCATGGTGGGAACCTCCAACTCAGACAAGTGCAGGAGCATAGTGAAGTCCATCTTTGATTTCAAAAACTGTTCCTCATCCCAGTGTTCCTTCAATGGGATCCAGCAGCCACCCGTCGCTGGAGATTTTATGGTAACACACAGTGCAAGAACACGTACAAGAAAACAGATGAAGATGACAAAAAACTTACGATATGTCTCTACTGTTCCTGCCAGGCATATGCAGGATTCTTCTACACTGCTAGGGCGCTCGGGTTAGAGGGAAGATCAGACCTTGATCAATTCAGCGCCTCAATTAGGAAATTCTGCGATTCACATTGGACAGTGGTAAGTTCTTCCAATTGGTAGACAGCTAGAGTAAAACAAAAGTATTTTATTCCCAAGACAAAATACCTGTTTTAAGATCACTGACTGAGGTGTGCCAGGCTGTGTGAGAACATGTTCCTCTGTCTGATTTAGTGCAGGTGCTCCTGTTAAAACATGTCAAACTTAATATGAAAAGTATTCACACGTACAATACCGAATTATCTTGGTGTTTTATAATGATCTGCAAGTTATCTGGAGATCTTAAACAAGACGGACAAAAAAAGCACTTTACTAGTACTTAAAGAATATTTCTACCACATAAGAGCAGATATTTCTCTATTGCACGGGCCTTATAGACATGTATCTGTGTATCAGGCCTCAAAATAGCTGCAAAATATCTTTGCAACTGTTTTTTTTCAATTTCTTTTATCCATCTGCAGGGATCTCATCTTAACTGTAAATTGAAATCAGTCTTGATCACACACTGTATTGTTTCAGTCTTGTCTTCATTTTAAAGTATTTAGGCCACACTTACCTTTGTTTCTCTTCCCTTCAGCTGAAGGCAGAGAATACATGGATCTTAGACAAATACCGTAGGACTTACTGTTATGCAGGTCACTACGTCTATACAATGCTGGTGGATGGATACAAGTTTGACAATGAGACCTGGAAAAACATTGACTACCGAAGACAGGTTGGTTGAGAAAAACTACATAATTTTTACCAAACACTGCTTGCTCCTACTGCTGTCCTTTACATGGCTGTGAAGCCAATTCACATCCACTCTTTATGTTCTCTGCGTTCATATAGTCTTGCAAAAAATAATGCTCATATTATCTAAAAATGAGAAACAACCATCAGAAAATGTCTATGCCAATTTGACGAGAGTTGCTATGCTTCAACTGCCAACATTTTGTCATGTTCAGGGTTAACAGCGTTTGACAAGTGTGAATGAGGCCACCCATGGAGGCCTATTAAACATGCCATGGCATTCAAAAAGTTAAGGCCAGAGTGAAAGGCGGGCAATGTATTACTCTGGGACACCCTGAGGCCACGGAGCGTCTTTCACAATGGAAGTCCCTCAACAGAAGGGGATTCCTGCTCTGTGACCCGCACTCTATCAGTCATGAGTCATAAAGAAAGACAGTATATCAAAAAGTCACACATAACAGCCGTAGTTTCCAAATTGCATTGCGGTTACCCTTTAGACTTGATCACAAAAACGTTCCTCAACAGCTGGCGATACTTCCAATTTCCAGTGTCGCCAACAATAGAGTAGCCTGCTGTGTGTGCTGCTTAGTGCCTTCAGGGGGTCTAGGAGTCTGGTGGTTGGATAGATCCCTTTGGAAGAAATTACAAAATAGACACACCCATCTTTGCCCAGAGCTGTAATTGTGCAACTTCATTACAGGACTGTTTCATATTCTCAACTTCCGTAGACATGTATGACAATACGAGTGATATAGTAGCTGCATGCACTACTGATGTACAGCATGGAAATACACAGTCTTCTCTTCCTGTCTCTTTTTCTCCAGGTGAAGAATACCAGCATAGGTTGGAGTTTGGGCTACATGCTGAGTATGTCCAACATGATCCCGTCTGAAGTGAAAGAAATCACCCCCCTGACAGACCCCGTCTTTGCCGGCCTTGTCTTTCTATTTTCAGCCCTAACAATCACAACTGTTGTCTTAGTTTTCATAATCCTCATTCGCACTTGCTTCTGAGAGTTTCGGTCACAAAGGCGAGGAATGGTCTGCCATTGTAAGCCTTGGGGTTGTTGTTATCCGGCAAGTAGTAGGAGAGCGCTACAGCAGCATTTGCTGAGGCACTTATTTTTTCAGCTTGAGTCATTTACTGACTTTAATTTCAATTATGAGAGTTCATGTGAAGTGAAGGAAAACCTCTCACTGTGTATCCTGCTAGTGACTTTGAGTCTTTGAGATAGTTTCACTGGTGTGACTGGTTTTATTGAGACATTAATAAACCCCTCTAAAAAAATATTTTTCAACCGGTAAAAACAGGTGACACACAAGTCCCTGAATAACTCACAGATAATAAAATGGAACCCAGAAATGTCCACTACTTGTTCTTGTCGCACATTGTGTAATGCAATTGTATTTATAATTGTGTGCTTACACACATGGACCCTCAGGCAAACCATCACTCACTGATTGATTCTGTATTATACATGTAACTGCACTTAATGGATTCCGCTTTAAATACAGTAGGCACTTCTGCCACTTCAGTGTTTTTTATTATATACTGTATACTGTATATCAGGGATAGGCATTGTTTGGCACAAGTACCACTATTTTTACACGGTAGCTTTACCAATGGCACACTTGCAGTGCGTGCTCTCTCATCTGCATGAAAAATGACCTCTTCCCCCATCATTGGCAAGTTTGATGTGACAAAAGTTTTGTTTTTTTAAGACCCGCCCTACTCTGCCTCTGATTGGCTAGTACTTGTTGCCTTCCGAATATAATTTGTCAAGTTTATTGTTGTTGAACAAGCTTGGAGGAAGGTCAAGAGGTTAATAATTTCAACTCAGATGTGGATGTTGGATGTGGAAGGATAACAGCCTTCTAGCCTTCTTCCATAGTGCTCTCATATATAATAGCAATGTCCCGATTATGAAAGTTTTTTTTTATATGTCGCTGTGCACATTGGATAAAATAAAATGATGGATCCGCTGGGATTCATGTTTTGTTGTGGTGTCATAATTAAACTTAATGGTAACCTTAATGTTGATATGGAACACTGATTAACAAGACATTTTAAAAACAGCACATCATATCAAAGAAGCTGTTGACCCCTGGTGTATATTATACAGAGTATGTCGTCACAGAAGTACACAACAATACTCTTACTGAATGAAACCCTAATTAATAAACAATGTATTGAATGTGCTATATGCCATTGTATCATTGTGATTTTGCTATATGTTGCATTAAGTCATTTTTCTACAGCCTATTTGCAAACATTCAATAGAAATACAAGATACATTTTATATTCTTAGTTTGCAGCCAACAAGTCACTGAAATTGATTCAGTGTGACAACAGTTCTATGCCTTATTTTCCCCATTAAATACGAATCTTGTGTTGTTCCATCCCTGGGAGGGTTTTGGGATTTGTTCTCTCTCTCTCTCACTATATACTATATATATATGCAGTAGTATATATAGTTGTATGATAAGTAGCGTTTGATGCGAGAGTTACTCAATCAGCAGAAACTAGTAACAGATCACAACAGGTTAGTTTGAGTTCTTGGGTATTTGCACCATTTGGTCAGTTTTGGAGATGAACTCCAATCAGTCTGCAACAGAACCATGAGACCATTACCAAAACTGTTGCAATAGAAGATTAGCTGTGGACCAACACAGAGGTGAACACACACAGGCGTGACTGATCGCCTAATCCTCCTGGCGGAGATAATTAAAACATGCACGTGTCTTTTTGACATTCAGCACAGTATAAATCTTATACCTGCTTTTTCAGTGTTTTTGTTGTCCTTGCAGTGGAGAGGATTATGTATGATTCCTATGTAATGCATTAACTGTATTGGTCCTGTTTTGATAATAATTCTCTCTCTATTGAGTAATAAACGTATCTACCAACTGTACCTTTTGTCACTGTTGTATGAGATTGGGTTTCCCAGTATCATCACTTACTGTTACCTTACTGATTTTACCTGAGCTCAACATGTTATTCAATTTAATACGAAACACTGGTGGCTACTTCTTCAAATATTATTTATTAATCAGAGCAAATCAGTATCAGTATCAAATAAATTCGCCTGTTTGAATCTAAATGCCTCTGTTTCATCTGTGTCCACTGAGCATCTGTAAATTCCCTGGTGACTTGTTAAAATCACAAACACACACACAAAACGCACATTCAGCTCTTCTTCCAGTAACCTGTCACCCACCATCTCATACTGTGTACTACAGTGCACTCTAGTGGTACTGCATTGTACCTGCAGAATATACAAGATGAGAATTGACTGTTTAAAACGTTTTTTATTGAAAGACTTGTCTAAAAAGAAAACAAAAAGAAAAGAGACATTTGAAACTACAGCAATATCCACTGTTTCTACAGACACTCTCAGAATCACAATTTGAAAGACATGGGAGGCATGTGACCAAGCAAATAAAAAAATAGCATCATCAAAGTTATTTCTGTTGCATCTTCTTTTACACACCTGTACAAAAAAAGATCTCATAAATAGTACTTTTGTTCTCGCTTTGTCTACTTTCTCTCTTCTTTCAATAATTTATTTTCCCACAGAGGTTTGTATCTGCTTGATTTTGGTTGAACCCCACTGTCTGTTCCTATGTATCCATTAGCTTCTTTTCATTGGCTGAGTGTCAGGTAGGTGGAGCTTCAAGGGTGTGACCTCAGAGCCTGTGTCAGTCAGTTAAAGTCCATAGAGGACATTTTGTTCCCTGTTACTCAGTACAAATAATGCAGATTCCTATTACCAGATTTGACCAGAATTATAATTCTCATATTTTTTTGCAACATGTCTCTTCTGTCACCTGAAAAGAGGCACAAGACTTGCCGGATGCTTAAGCAGTGATTTCAAGGATAACACTTAACTGTCTTTCCAGTATCTTGCCTTCAAATAGTCAATTGCTGTCATTCTGGAGGTGTACGTCTTCCACACCCACCCAACACAAGGCTGCCTCAATCCTCATTAATGAAAAGTATTTAGCAGCTCACACTTCATAATCAACTCTCAAGAAAGACAAATAAAAAAGGCAACACAAAAAGAAAAAACACAACAACTCTCTCCTCGACCTTTTAGAATATACATAAGCTGAAATGAGTTTGTTCAACAGAAATGCCCTTTCCTCTGACAGAGATCATCGCCCTGCTGCTCACATTTTAAATGGCTTGTGTTTGGCAAGACAGTGGCGTAAAACGTATGGACTGAGACTATGCATTTCGAAATAGGAGCATTTTGGCTGGCCATCAGAAGGAGTTACAGCATCTCAGTGTCGGTATTCGTGGTTGGTCAATGCAGCCTGAAGAGGGAGTTGTTGGGTGGGTACAAAGGTTTAAAGAGTACACACCACCATTCCACAGGATACCATTCGTTTTCCAAACCTTTACCACTGAAGTATTGTGAAACAACTTATTCCCAATAATATACCTACCTCCTCCACTTTCACCATACCACACAGATGTTACAGCGCCACTTTAAATCATCACCACTGTTTGATCACTTGACAAAGAAAACATCACAGAGCACACTCTTCTGGTTGAGGCAGTTGTGTTTAAAGACCTACTGCATGTTCTCAGTCACTGATAAATTAGCTCACATGCCAACAGCATGACAATCGATAAAAATCTCAGTTTCAGAGGTGAAAAAATAAAGAAAAAGCAACATAAGGAATATCTCTTCATTACCTAGTTTCTTCATCTTTGGTATAAAATGTGCCACCTGATGGCTGCTTTTGTTCAACGGTTAAGAAAGACTCAAGAAACTGTCAACAGTTTTACTAAAACTATTGCTTTTTGCACATTTAAAAATCCTAGCGTTTATTTCTGCTTTTAGTCAATGTCAGAAATGTTCCTTTTTTACTTTTCTTTTTGCAGTGAGACAAGCAAAGCAGGCAAAGCAAAACCCTTTTGAAGGTTATAAAAACAAAAAAATACAAATGTGATGAAGAAACAGAAATTTTATCCCATGATTAAACTTAACTGCATTTTCCAGGAAGCAGTGGATTGACCCATCCCACAAGTCGCATTAAAGAAGATTTTTTGTTTTTCCACCAACCAAACATCAGCTGCACTGCACCACATAATTTAAAATCATCTTCATACAATTACAACCTTTTTTTATTTTTATCCTGTACAAATAGCTTTGTAGATTTATTCTCGGTGGTTCTCGGAACTCTTTAAGAACTTCTCAAATCATTCAACCATTCTTTTTTTTTTTTAAATAATTCAACATTATGGAAACTTTTTTCCCAAAGTTTGAGAAAATTAAGGCAATAAAGATTTACGAAAACATTGATATTCTAGAAAACTACTCAAATAATAAAAATAATGAAAATAAATGTAGCTTAATATCAAAGGAAGACAACCTGTTTTTTTTCCTAGACTTTGCTTCCTTCCTTTTTTTGATAAAAAAAAGTCTGAAAATCTACCTGCACAATCAAATGTTCTTTTTTTCTGTACAGCTTGTTGGTTGAGTTTAGATTTCAGTCCGTCTTCTCCTTTTCCTTCAGAGGCAAAGTCCAGTCTCACAGTGAGAAACGATAGACTCAAAGATGCAGACTGCGTTTTATTTCATTGTCCTCAGGTTCAGCAAACCATCATTTCTCTTCATCATTTTGTCTTTTTCTTGGTTCAACCAGGTAAGAAATATAATTGATTTTTTTTTTTTTCATTTTGTCTTTTATTTGGTGCCTGTGCACAGTGGAAGCATTCTCCCCTCAACGTTGCCCATATCACCTCTTTTTTTTTGTCCCCGTTTCATTTTGATTCTCTCTTTGTCTCCAGCGCCTTGGTATAGGCAATGCAGCAATGATTCCTACCAATCCTGTTATCTAGAGGAGACAGAAAAACAAGTTAGGGGAAATAGAGTAACTAAGGAAACTCTGGTCGTTCTTCGGACCGCTGTGTGTTAAAGAAACCACCAGCAGGTTATCTAGGAGGCAGAAAAACAAGCAGAGGAAACACCAGGATGAAGGTAAAAATGTATTTTACTAGTTAACTTAGCTTAGCATAAAGACTGGATGTAGGAGGAAACATTAGTTACAGTAATGTTTTGCCACTGTGACCTTTGACTACCAAATTCTAATCAGTTCAACTTCGAGTTCAGTTGGACGTTTGTACCCATTTTGAACAAATTCTCTCCAGGTATTCCTGAGTAAACGCGTTTATGAGAACGGACCGGCCTGCAGGACGACCCAAAAACATGGGCTGTCGTCGGTGCAGAGGCATAACAAGACAGTAAAATGCAGGACCACTATAGCAATAACATACCACCCCTGTACCAGCTACAAAGAAAGCTTGCAATACAAAGACAGACGTCAACTTACAACACTCACTTAGACTGCTGGTAAGAGTAGGCTGTCGAATGATCTCCTGTATTCTCCACTGATAAAGGCTGCTGCCCGCTGGCGTCCTGGGAGGAGGGGGCAGCTGTCTGTGAAGAAGGGTCCGTCACCACACCCTGACACCAGAAACAATTCAGATATGACACGATCTCATATTGTTATAAGGTTTATCTTTGTTCCACATAGCACTGAAAAAACGTTTACAGAGAGCATTCAAACAGTTCAGCAAAGACAAACAATCCACTAAGTATTGATTAAAAGGGAAGGGTTCAACTTCTCCCAGCATACTTAATTCAATTTCTGGTGCTCATTTTAAGAATTAGATAACAGTTCCTGACTTAAAAAAATAAAAGTATAATTAGTGGCAATGTTTCACCCTAAATTACACAAAACCGCAACCTGATTTTGACTTAAGCAAGTTCCCTCAGTGGCAATAAGTGACAGACACTGAGGTCTCATCATATTTACCAAATGTTTTCTTTTCATATCATGGCAGCATGACCATTCTAAATTACAGCTTAATTTACTAGCATCTAATTTACCAGAGAGACAACTATATGTGAATATAAGTCAAGTCAAGTCCTCCCTGTAAAGCCCTCTACACCATCCTGTATGAAGTTGATATAAGGAGTAACCAGAATAAAATCCATGAACTGCTTCCCTTCCGTCCTTACTTCTACTGTGATGGCAGAGGCAGGCACTGCAGTGTACTGGGGAATGTAGGTTCCTTGCATAGGAGCAGCTGCTGCAGCAGGCATGTACTGCAGAGAGAAGGAGGGGCACAGACAGTATTACAACACAGGCACAAAAAACATGTCCTCTAGAGTCTCTGGATTAAAAGTACTGTCTGACATTCCCGCTGAGACATGTGGCTTTTAGACATTTCACAATACATGACATAACAGTTTGGCTGGGTCCCAGGGTCGTTGCACATTTCAGCAAACAGAAAATGGCAATCTCCATGTGTGTGGCTATGTGGTTGCTGCTGTGAGATAATTTCAATTACAGCCGATCATGTAAATCTCTCTGAATAATGGTATTGAATATATTACTCACAAGATATAAACACACACACACACACACACACACACACACACGAATGTAGAGCAAGGTGGTTTGAAGGAGGTACAAGCTGAGACTCACAGTGCCTGTGGTGCCCAGAGACAGGTGGTTCATCTGCTGGCTGAGAGGAGCCATCACACTGGAGGGGTGAAGAGACAAACTGGGCTCTATAGCCGCTGCTGGGGTGATCACAGCGCCCTGAGGCAGGGAGGAAGGACACATGACTGTTTATAGACATTGTTGTAGGTGAGCAAACAGAATAAAACAGACAACAAAAACAGTTTGTTTGGCTGAACTAAAACATTGAAAATGATCACCGGAGGTGGTTTATGAAGGGATGGCGGATGAGCGCAAGACTTTACAAAAAGTAGTATTCTTTTAAATTAGGTCAAAAGCTGCATTCAAACCAGAACAAAGACAGTTAAAAACAGACTAGATAACATGAATTATAACAGCAAAATGTGTCACTTGATATGTGTACTGCAATGGGAAAAAGGGATTTTTGTATGCTACACAGCTAAATAAGAGATTTTTTAAGACATTCAACTAGTTATTGGTTCATAAAAGAAAGACTTCCAACCCAGTTAAGTTTGATGACTGCAAACAGTTTGATGGCAATGCAGCCAGTCAGCCGGCTTGACGGAACATGCGTCTGAACGGAGCAGAAAGGCTTTTACTGTAAATCTCTTCAATGTGAAGGGCTTTGATGCCTGCTAACACCTTGATGCGCTGAGCTCTTCTTTTCCAGTACAGCTCAGCTACAGACTCCACAGCTCTGTATTTAATAGGAGACTCCTCACACTGTGTGCTGAGATGCCTGGCAACATCCCTGCAGAGGTATACACTGCTCATTTCTGATAGCTGTTTAACTGCACTTCCCATGAGCCCAGGCAGCATCAGTGGACATGCGTCAGCATCGCTCTACAGAGCAGTCGGCACTTCTGTAGCTGCATGTTGAGACAGGATGTTGGAAGAACACGGGTATTACATTTAGGTATTTTAGGCACCGACCCAGCTATACGGCAGTCGTCTTAACGGCTCTGTATCTGTAGAGTTTCATAGGGAGGCTTGAACAACAGAAGCACACATATATAGGTAAACACACAAACAGTAATGAAAGTTCTAGCTGTGTGAAGCGTTCCTCTCGAAGGCACATACAGCCTGTCAGAGTTGCTCACAGTTGCAAATCTGTAAGTGGAGATCCTTATGTCTGAAGGCTTCACAGGGAGGCACACGCACATACGCACGCACACACACAGTACAGACAAGGATTGTCGAATCTGTTAAGAGTGTTGAGTGCTCTTCCTCCTGACTGCTGTCTTCATAGGGAGATCTGTTTGAAGAACACAGCCACCCAGCCATCTGAAATGCTCTGTCAACACTGCCCTCAACAACATCACACGTGAATGAGTGGCACTTTTTCCACACACTCACACACACACACACACACACGCACACACACGCACACACACACACACACACACACACACAGGTATCCATACACAGATGCATCCACAGATCTACCCACAAACCCGCACAAAGCTTTGGCTCCAGCAGGTAGATTTAGCAGCCAGAAACTAGCTAATACCCAAGCTTTTCATCCATCTACAGTATATAATACACTCCCTCGTTTAATGATTTCTCATCCTCCCTCGCTCTTTCTCTCAGTTCATCCAATCTCGCAGCAGGCGTCCATGCAGGGAGAAAGCTGCATAAAGCAAAAAAGGAAACCCACAATGACTAATTGGCTGCTCTGATTTACAGCTGTAGTGTTAAACCTGTTATCTCTCTGCATGTTAGTGTGATGAGTGTGTAATCATGTGTGGTAGAGCGTGTGTATGTGTTAATGTTTTTTAGTAATCAGACATCTTTTTTTCCCCTGGGGTAAGCAATAAATGGGAACACAAGAAAGACAGCTATCGTTTCCCCTGAGGATGGGAGAGAGACAAGTACAGAATCTGCCTCAACTTTGAACTCGCTCTTTCTCTCCCTCGCTCGCTCCCTCCTCTCTTCTTCTCCTCCCCCTTCTTCTGCTGTCATTTTTCCAGTAGTCAAGTGAAGCTGTCTAGCAGAATGCTGTAGGGCATCGTGTAGCATCAAATACACAGTATTAGTGATAACGACACCCGTTTATCCACTGTGTGTGTGCGAGCATGCATAGAATGGGAAACAGCATTGTGTTGTCTCTCAGGTGGTGTGGTCTGGAAAGCAGATATTTGTATTATTCTACAAAAATGATTTTTCCAAACTGAAACTACACCCATATTTATGTTTTGCTACACAAAGCAAAAGGTCAGGTATTGCTGGGTTGTAAAATCTAAACATGCCCCAAAATGCATGGGTTCTGCACACTGACACATTGATGCACACAAGGGATCCCAGCATCAAAAAAGGGAAACAAACTAAGTATTTTTTGCACTATTCACAAGCTCAGATATGTACTGATCTGTGCTTTCTTCCCACACATTCTTCACCCCCTTGTTTGCTCAGGTGGGTTCAACATAGCAATTTAACTCAGGAAGATCTGAAATCCTAATTCTTTGGATGTCTCATTACAGTGCTCCCCAATAAGCTGCCTTCCCTCTCTTTCTTGCTATGCATGGTTAGGGTAATGCATTCATTTCCTGTAGGGGGATTTGGGAGTAATTATGCACAAAGACATCCTCACACTAATTAAGACGTAAAGACAGGGAGTTCAAGTAATCTGGGCATTGCACCAAGGCTTGGAAACACAGTCCTTAAGGCACTTCACTGTGTGTACTGTATAGGTGTGCTTGTGTCTGTGTGTAAATGTAGTTGGAGGAGTGCCTGCATGTGCTCCTCCTTTATTCCTGGGGAACTTCTTCATTTTTATTTCTCTAATTCTAACCTTTTAATTACAGTAATTCATTTCTTTAGCAGCCGTGTGTCTACAGACCTATCTGTGAAAGGATGTGCATTTGTCAGTGATTCACATAGAAACCCTCCCAAACATGTTAGAATCTCCAACTGTATGATGGAGTGACTGAGTGATTAGCAGAGACGTGATTGCGTGCAACAACCTAAATGTGTCAACGAGCGCGCACCATTAATTGAAGTTACTAGTCATTAACCGAGGCGCAGCAGCGAGGAAGCCTCTGCTACCATAGGAACAGAATTAAGCCGCTGTGTCTCTCTCAGTCTCTCTCCCTGACGCAGCTTTAATTTGCCCAGCTCTTCTGGTTCCAGGAAATACAATGACTAGCCTTCGCCTTTGTTGTCTAACAGGGATTTTGACTGCCGAGACAAGGCTAGGGAGCAGGCGCGCACAGCCCAGACATGCTTTTGCAGCAGTTGTTTTCTTTTCTTTGTTCTCGATTTATTCTTTGTAATCTCTTCTTTCCTCTCCTTTCCCTGTGCCTGCTTCTCCCCCCCTGTCCTCTCTCTGTCAAATGCACACAGTTCTCTTATTTTTCTATTTTCTCTTTCTCCTATCCCTTATTCTGTCCTCCCTTCTATGTCTCTCTGTCTTCTCCCAAGTCTTACGCAGTCTTATCAAGCGGCTTGCCAAATAATTAGACGGGACATTTGTTTGAATACACATTTACAGAAGGGTATTATCCTCTCTCACAGACATCATTTTAATCAGACATGACAACAGAATGTTTTTCAGGAGTTGGCAGTTAGACACAAAGAGGAAAGCAGATAGGAAGAGAGAACTATAGAGAGGAGGACAACAGACTTTGGAACTAATTTAACTATTGTGATATTTGCTGGAATTCCTCAGTGCATGCCTGATATACCATATCTGTGCTGCCTCTATCTTCCACCCGCCCACAGCTGACAATTTCAATGGAGCATAACTGAATTTTACAGGTACAAAATAGTCAGCAGATGTTTCAAAGAAAACAACTTCTTACACTTGTGGTTAGATATAAATCTGGATGACTGATTTCTTTATTTTTTTTCGAAGAGAAGCCAACTTTATTTTCCAGAAACATATCTATTGTTAAGGAGCTTGCAACTACAAAAATAAATTCTGGAGGAGACAGTGTCATCGGATGTCATGGCTGTCCACATGATGTGGGGTGTCTGAAATCTGTTGCCAGCCATGATGGCCATTAACACTGAAATGCACGTGTGTTAAGATTGACTCCCTCACTTCTCGAATGACTGAAATGTTCCCTATAAAATACTTTTTCACAGGGATAATCATTGATTTTTACTTCATATGAACCTTTTTCAGGACAGGTGCGTAATTAAATCACATGAGTATAAAAATTAAATTCATGTTTTACAGGCAAGTTAAAAAAAATAATTCACTGTTAATAGAAAATTACCAATAGACGAGCAGAACCAGTGGAACTGTGAACTGCTGATGAATAAATGTTTAAGAGGTGATTAAGGTTTACGGTTCATCTGAAGCACTTTCATGGTTATTGTGTGGTCCCAATATGAATCTATATTTCCTTATTCATTAAACCTGCTGTGAAATAATCAACCAGGTCTTTCACCTGCCAGACATGGCAACGATGTGTTCTTCCGACAATTAAAGAGAGGACTCTGTCCTGCATCTGGATAAAAGCAATTTCATGTTGTATGTTATGGTATCGTATGTCAGACAAACAATACGTCAGCATATAGGCTTCACCTTGAGCTCGGCGCAAAGCCTGTGGAGGCCTGCGGAGTTACGAAAACCACATACAGTCCCTGGCTAAAAGCAAGGAAACCTTGAAGTTTGTGTCAATGTTGTTTTTGTGTGTGAGTCAGTGCAAGAAAAGACAAAGGACAATCTGCAAAGTGAGTGTAGATTTGCTGTGTTTATTGTACACCTCCACTCACAGGCAATATGCATGACTAGAGGTGTAATATGTGTGTGTATCAAAGTACAAATGTGATCAGTAGTTACATGTTAGTATTTACTGTAATATCAGTACGATGTATTCCACTACACTTGTGGAAGTCAGCTTTTTATCTGCAGTTTCATGTCAAACCAGCAGGGAGCAACCTTTTATTAGAGATTTTAGACTGTTCCGCTGAGCTCTGCGAGTTGCTCTAAGGAGGTTATTCAGCGGCTGATTCAGCAGGGTAAGACTCAGATGCAGGGCTTAAGTTTTTTTTTTCCTGCTCTGATATGGGTTTGGCTCTCACATGCTGCAATTGTTGGAAACTGTGTGTCATTTCTATTTTATTATTTGGCTTAATGCAATTTTTGCTCCATCATTTACATTGAAATATGAGAAAAAAATCTGTGGTGTTAAATACTGTTACAAAGAAATGATCTGAGCATAATTGCATGAAAGTCCTATGGTTTCTATGATGGTTGACTTTTTAGCTTTTGTTTCATAGATCCTGAGGCAGCCAATATTACAGTGGAAAGTGCTGGAAAATGGAGGAAACGACTCCACTGGGGAGAGATAACATAAGACCAAAAAATATAGAGCTGGTTTAAAAACTTACTGTAGGTTGCATAACATACTGTTGATGATGTGGCATCCATGATGTACTCTGGACCTGTGGAGATGAAAGTACGAAGGTAGAGGCAAAGAGAGATGAGAAGATGCAGCAAAGGTAGCGGTGCCAACAATTAAATCAGACACAACGAAGGAAATATAAATAAATAAGAGAAAATAAAGTACTTAAAGAAGGAGGGGATGGGGATGAGTAGGAGGATGCAAAAGGGAGGTCAGGGAGAGATGAAGAGAGGAAGGGGGAAGATCAAAAAAAGATTGTTATAAGTGGTTAAAGAATTGAAAAAGAGAGAACATAAAGAAGGACAATTGGAAGACGGCACGACAGGAAGGGAGCCAAAATGAGAAACCCAAAGAGAAGAGGAGAGAAAATTAATCATTAGCTCAAGTCTCTACAAGCCTATTTCAGAGGCTCAGTCCCTGCGGCAGTGTGTCCTAAAGAATAGTACAGCCGTAACTGAGGGTCCACTATACAGTATGTTATGCTGTAATTATAAGAGGATATGAAGACCACAGAGAGCAATAGAGTCTAATAATTACTGCTTCCCAGCGGAGGTTTCATCATCAAAGCCTGTCTTGGTCACAAATCACCACTTTCATCTCCTGCTGCCCAACCCTTACAAGTCAAACAAGTCCCCAAAGGCCCCTTTGTCACATGTAAAATAATACATGCATGCATATAGTAATTATATAAGTGCATGTGTATGTTTGCATGTGTTTGCTTACCTGTGCCTGTCTATGGGGAGTTAACGTAATGCAAGGTAGGTTAATTCCTTTTTGTGTTTTCCTTTTAAAAGGCAGAATGTGACTGTGTCTCTGTGTGTAATTCTTCTCTGCCGAAGGTGTGTCTTTTGTCTTTCTCGTTTACAGCAGTGTTTCCTGCTCGAGAAAATCTGTGGGGGGGAAGGACTGGGTTTGTTTTAAAGTCTATGTGTTTGACACACTGAGGATCAAGTACTGAGTCAATCTCTCGAAGAACTGCCGCTACATCGGCAACCATGCTTTGACATGAATTGGTATGGTTTGTGCGTGTGGAACAGAGAGGATGTGACACATGGGAACAGAAAGAGACAAAAGAAGGATTTGTGCCGAAGAATGAAAGATCGATGGGAGGAGTGCTGCAGCATAAGCCTATGTTTTATCATTTTTAAGCTAAGAACTGTCTTGAATGGGGAGAGCTGATTTTATTTATGTGTTAGTCTGTCCTGAGAAAAGACAAGCTTCACTTGCTTGACCTGTATGTCCAGGGACTACACACAGGGCAACAGTCAAACAAGTTATTAATACAAGCTTTTTTTTTACATTTATTTTAAAACCAGAGACCAAGCTGCGCATGGGATCAACTGAAATTAATAATTACATATTCCAAAACCACTGGTCCCAATTAAATTAGTGAGCGTAATATGAGGCGGCACTTATATTTTAGCTAAAGAGTTATTAATCTAAACACACTACTTCAAGATCTCCTTATGTTGCTTATCTGGAGTCCTTCCCGTATTTTTAAAGTGTGGGCTAACCCACCAAAACTTCAGAGAGGGTCCACACACCTGATATGTAGAGACGGGGGAAGCAGCGATGAAGGGTGTGATTGACGTCTGTGCAATCATCCGATTGGTGGAGATGCTGTATGGCGACGTGTAAAACCTACGAAGCAAACAAGAAAAAGGTTACGTTTTCATATTGCCGAACTTCCAAGCGGGGTAATGCTGAACCCAGAGCATGTTAACAGACGGTACAAAAATGCGATGTCAATCAAGAGGCTTCCTTGCACATACAGCTCTTTTTAGCTCTTCAGATGTAGCCACATGCAAAGGTGAAAATGAGCCTTTCGTACCTCTTTGTTTTCAACCACCCATTGCACTTCAAGACACCGCTGACAAAATGGATCAGACATCATCAAGGCTGTCATGGAAACAATACATTTTGCAGCTTTACTCTGTGACACACCATCAAAGATGTCTTCGAATGAGACTTGACACTTACCGGAGCACACATCATGTTACAAAGGAGTCTGCTCCACGACTATGCATGATAATGAATTATCGCCTTAATGTGTGAGTGGGTGAAATATCTCAATATTGCCCTTTATGTTCCAACCTACACATATTCCACTTAGTAGAGAAAGCTGCATCTGTAACATTTGCATTTATACTCTGTTTACGTCTCTCCCTTTGTTTGCCCTACTCTTTTTTTCCCCCTTTCACCCCCTCAACCACGCAGCGGTAGAATGCTGTGGCTCGCAGTGCTTTATTTGTCATTGTGTACCTGGAGAGGACATGTTTCATCCGCCAGGCCATGTTGCTGTGCCCCATCGATCCCAAAGTGTCCGTTGACTGAATAATGGAGAAAGGGAGGGGAGAAAGAGAGAGGCAGAGACAGAGAGGCCTCCCTTATCCATCTCTAACACAGCCACGATTGCATAAAAAGCTGATTTACCACAGATCAAGCATTGCTTAATTGGGGGAGAAGAGTTTTGAAAAATAAACACACTGTTGGTTTACTTTCAAAGGTATTTCAAACTACTACTGCCAAATATGACATTAATTAACAATTGCTGTGTTTCATTCATAAAGATCTGTATCACACATAACCAAATAACCAAATATCCAATCTATTCCTAGAACAACCAGGCTCGGTAACCAGCCGGATTTGGGGAAATATAGATGAATTGGTGCGACTCCACTTTGACAACAGCACACATCTCATTTCAAAGGGGAAATAGGTTGCAGAGGTGGTCACCAGCTCTGTTATTGCTGTTTCACGTAATATTTGTTTGGTCAGTGAGAGCACAAGCAGTGTTGACCTCAGCTGCGAGATGCAAACCCTCAGGTATGTTTTAACTACTGCTGTCCTGGCCTTGTGGATGCAGTTGGTTTCCAACTGTCTGCGATAAGCTCCAGAGCGTGACTGTGCTTTACACCGACATCCAGCCTCCCTGTTGGATTATTATGTTCTACTTGGTGCTTTGAAACCTACGAAATAGTACATAAAGTGTATAGTGTCAATGGTTACTCCACAACACGTCACTGATCCTTAGCTCCAGAAAGACTCATCTCAGCATTATATATATATTTTATCTTGCCAAGGCTCAGCTCCATTAAAATATACTAACACTAATAATAATCATCAGAATAATAACCATAACGATAATCAGAATATTAATATTAATAATAATACATTTGATTTTTGTATTCAACAGCGCCCTTTCATGGCAATGAAGGTCATCTCACAACACACAAGATCAACAAAACATAAGCAACAGAGCATACAACAGCTCGGCAATGAGTTAAAGTGAGTTAGAGATGCAGTTGCTGCAGTTAAAGTGAAGTTTAAACTTTAAAAAGATGGGTTTTAAGAGCAAATTTGAATTCTGCAATGGAGTCCAGAATGCAGATGTGAGGGGGAAGTGAGTCCAAAGTTTTGGTGCAGCATAGCTTCATATTTAAAAAATACAAAAAACTTAAACTTTATTATAATCGTCATGAACATTAATGTATGAAATTTAACTTTTGCATTTTACCCCCTGGCATATTGGGAGCAGTGGTCTGTTGAGAAGCGCCCAGGGAGCATTTAGGGGTTCTGTGGTCAGGGACACATCGGCACACGTCCAGGATTGAACCGCCAACCTTGTTGTTGCCACCCCATGAGCCACGAATACCCCAACCATAGGCTGTATGTCTGCATTTAATGACATGTTTTGACCCATACGCTTGAGATTGAAAAGTTTGAACAGATATATAATGGATGGATCTACGCTGGAGAAAGAACTGGAATATTTTTGTCCAAGTGGTGATCAGTGATAAGAAACAAAACAACACTTTGCTGATCATGTGGTGTGGCTCCATCTTTCTGACTGTACAATTAATGTATGACTTGCATTAGAGATACTGTATTACTGTCACTGATGAATACAAATGAAACACCGCAGCCAGGTTATTCAATATGCTTCTCTGATTGTGTTTATTGTATTTTTCATTAGAGTGATGTGCATTGAGAGAGAGAAATAGTAGGTAGAGGACAGATCCAAGGTTATTGATGGAGGCTATTAGCCCTGAGCAGTACGTTGTCAATGGGGACTCCAGCACGGCTGTTTAAACAATACAATAAAACATGTAATTGCGAACAGCGAATTACTACGGGATTGAATTTAAAACCCCGCTGTGTATCCCTGCACTGTCAAGAGTTGGCCCTGGAAAATTAGCGAATGATTTAGTGCCGACCTCAGTGACTTTACAGCCGAGAAATGTGGAGGAGCATGCTAAAATATATATATATGTGTGTATGTGTGTGGGCAGGAGAAACAGAAGATAGAGAAGACAGATAGTAAGGCAGAGTGAGAGAGGTAAGAACAGAGGCAAGGAAAAGGAGAGAGAGGAGGAAGAAACAATAGGACAGCAAACAGACCATGCAGAGAGGAGGCAGGAGATTAAGAAAAAGCGAGCCAGAGAAAGTCTCCCTGATAAAAGAAAGGGCAGGCTATAAGCCAAAGCAGTCTGGTTGGTTAGGACACATGTTTCCAATAACATCAGATTGGCATCAGATCCTAGAAACTAGCCGTCCTCAAGCTTGGAAAGACTCGCAAACCTGTAATTGATTCGTAGTTCCTACCCTTCCCCTCTCCTTGGGCTTTTATTTTTGCCTCTGCCCTCCTCTTGACCCCGCCCGGCCCTCCCTTTTTATTCAACCCCCTTCCCTCCCTGCTTTTTTCGCCTCTCTAATTAGCTGCATTAGCATTTCACAGTCATTTAGCTCTTTGCCGGAAGGAGCTCCGATGACCTCGGAAGAGAGGTCAAGGGGGGCTTAAACACTGCAAGTGCACAGATGCTCACGTGTGAGCATGCATTTACACAGTCACGAGCATGCGCACATAAACAAAAGACACCAGAGATGAGTTAAAGTAAAGCATCCGCTTGGAAATAGAGAATAGGAATAAGAAGAAGAAAGGGACTTAGACAACAATACGTAGAAGAATGGGAAGAGAGTGGAGTCGAAAACTATTGCAATACATTTTTGATGAGGTCAAACAAGCAAAAGATTGACTGGTCTAAAGGTTGTATGAAGAAGGTAAAGGGAATTAAAATGTGGAGAGCAGGAGGAGGAGAAGAGAAACGTAGAGCTGGAGGGAAGCGTCTCCTGGGATCTCATCACCAGCAGCATTCCTAGCAGACAGGACCGATCTCCAATTTCCCCTGAAACAGGCAGACACTCTCTGCATTCAGCCCGAGAGAACTGCAGATCGCCTCAGCTGACGAAAGTCTTACAACGGCACTGCAACACCGCCCAACTTCCCCGTCTGCAATCAAAACCTACAAGTCTGACAGCTTGTATGCATAGGTGCATAAATAAATACCCCATCTGCACCAAACAGATGTGAGAACAAGGGCAAGAGCGCACAGCAGGGTAAGACAAAGAGCGTGTGTGTGTGTGGGTTAATGATCCGCGTGTCCTGTACCTGTTTGGATATGTGTGCAGGTTTGTGGACTACTCATTTGCATGCAAGTGCTCTTGTGCATATTAGTGGCTGATGTGTGTTCATCTTTGCAGCTTTGCTGGTGTGGCAAGGTGGACGGTTTGTGAAGGGCTCATAAACAGGTGCTTTACAAATATTTTGCACGGAACGTGCGTCAAAAGCAAAGTTTGCAGACATCTAAAGTTGTAGACAACGTTTGTAAATCTGAGAAGAAACTCATCCACCTACCCATTCTGCATTGCGGAGGGATCATACGTCAATGCCATACCACTCTGGAGAAAGAGATAAAGAGAGAAATATATACACAACGAAAGGTTAAAATACTTCATATTCCTTTTAAATCATTTGTGTTTTTCTGTTATTACGATACTGCGGTGTAAATGATTATTTGATGGTGTAAACTGACAGCAATATTGCCTCTGACGAATGGTCAAGCCAATGAAGGTAATGAATTGAGAGGGAGGGAGGCAGCAGAGAGGGAAAGTAGAATGATTCGTGATGTAAAATAAAACAATTAACTCAAAAGCTTTGACTTATATTCACCAATATAAACAAGTGAGTGGGATACGAAGACCTGCTAAATAAAGAACAATTGAAGATGTCCACAGTAGTACAAAACTCTCAAATGAGCCAGTTAAAACCACACATGTACAATAAAATCATTCTGCATGAATTGGTATGAGCTTGTGGACCACTTAAAACTGTAATTATCATGTTCAAAAATATCCACAGCTACAGTAAAATAACCAAAAAAGGGACATTAAGGGAGGATGTACAGCCCCGCTGTGTGTGTCCTGGTCCAACACACTCAGAATACATGGAATGATAAGAAATGTCTTGAATGGACTCACTTTCTACAAATGCCACGAACACCTCTTTCCAAACCAAATGTGGGAAAGAATACTGTTCACTTCACTTGCATTTAACAACTTGAAGGGGTATTCAGAGGTGGAATATATATGCACACAAAGTCAACACAAAAAGTTTGAAGTTATTTCCTATTTTCCAATTTTATGGCTTTGTGAATGCACAAAGGAGCAGAAGTGAGACAATCTGGAGGAGAAAGAGAGTAACCTGCTTAGATTTGAAATCAGTCTTTCTGAGCAGTCACACACACATTTGGTGCATGTTGTCACAGCAAACATCTGTACTGTCAGTCAAGTAACTGAACTAATCAGTCAAAACGAGCCCAAACTTTATTTCACTGACAACCGGCAACTCGCTCAAAAAAACTCTCACAGTTTGGGAGACAATTGTAAATAAGGAGCTGTTTTTAACATTCTGAACATGAATATAGCAGCAAACAACTATTTGCCATGTAAAGATATAGTGGAGTAATGTCTATTCTATTGTCTGTGTGTGTTTTTTATCCAAGCCCCTCATTGCTTCGTTGATATATCCGGGATGGGGGTGCATGCTTTTAGTGCATGTTAGTGCATGTTAGCGTGCCCCGCTAGTTAGCTCACGCCTGCCGCTCTGCACTGCTCTCATGTGATGAATACAGCTGATAACGCCGCCCTGACCAACATCGTCGTCACAGAAGCATAGCACACACCCTCCGGCTGCCCCACAGGTAAACACTGTTAGCTCTGTCAGAACCTTTACCGTAGTTTGCACCGTTGGCATTGTTTGCACTGTTAGTGCTGTTAGCACTGTTTGCTATGAGCCGCCGACTCGCCGTCAACATTTTGAGAGCCGTTGAGTGGCAATCAAAATGCTCCCATCTCGGATCTTGCAATGTTAATGTTGTGATCCAGTTTTCATCTCGTTTTTTGCTTTTCATGACCATTTTAAAATATCGATCGACGACACACTGTTTCACCTCAACTAAAGGAAGTGCTGGCCATGGAGCAACAAGCAGACGCCATTCTGTTCCTTTCCTATAGCAATAGCCACCAGTCCCAGGGCTCACGTATTTCTACTCTAAATATGAATGAAAAGGATAAGGTTCTTCTGCAGTATATCAGTATAGGAAGAAACTCAAAGCTACAAGAGTGTATTTTACTCGCTAAGTATTCTCTGTCCCTCCTCAACTCCATCAAATATCGCCAATTGTTTATCATTAAGTGACAGTTCAGTGACTCTCAGAATGTTTTTTTATCTGTTTCACTACCCTACCATGTGCAAATAAATGAGACTGTGAACTTTGAAACAGATCTTCATCCACTGAGCTGCCTCTTGGCAATGCCGGAACAAACAGAAAGCATCAATAGTTGTTTTAATACTCTAATCTTTTACTGTATCACTGCCCTCACCAGACCCTTCATCTGCAGCCCCAAGACAAGTCATTGGGACTTGTTCTTTATTCCACACAAGTCTCTTCTCTCCAAATTGGCACATGAGTTAAAAGTTTGCCCTGATGCTGAACTCTGCTGCCATGTTAGTTTTTTCTCTAAAAAATGTTTCCAGCAATGTTTGGGGGAATAAATCTGCACACAAGCAATAAAAATGAGTGCCAGAGATTGATGACATCAAATAGCAAAAATGAATCATTCCAAAGCCCAGGATTCCTTTTTATACCAACTCTTAAACAAACATCTGATTTAAAGTAGGTAAAATCTACATTACACATACACAAAAATCCTGGTGTTCACCTTCAGATCAATTTGTATTCAACACTGGGTCCCTTGAATTGTCTTTTTGAACAGGAGACTTCAGAGTAAGAGGAGATCAGTTCTATGAAGCATCTTGATGCGCCATGTCCTCCAAGTTTCCTTCATCTAACAGCAAAGACTGGAAAGACATTTCTCACTGCTGCATTGTGCCAGCATTAGTGCATGAAAGTGTATGTTTAGAGATGTACCACTCATCTAACTCTCTGTGTGTGCAGTCACGATGTATCCTCCAGGATGGATTATTGAATGAACCTACCAGGAACAGGCCCAGGGGCCCAAAGAGTCAGGGGGCCCCTGGAACCCGAGCATCTGTTTGAAGTTATTGTAATATCTCTTGTTGGAAAGTCAATCAAACGACTACAAAGAGATGAAAAACAACTACAAAGAGATGTAAAACCTCTACAAAGACATCTAGAGACAACTATAAAGAGACACAACATTACTATGGAGACACAAAGACTTCAAAGAGACACAAAACCTCCTCAAACAAAACTACACAGAACAACTACAAAGAGACATAAAATGACTACAGAGAGACTTTTGTTGGAAAGTCAATGAAATGACTACTTAGAGATGCAAAACAATGACTAAGAGACATAAAATTTCTAAAAGAGACACAAAACGACAACCAAGAGACACAAATACTCCACAAAGACTACTACAATGAAAGAAATAACAGCTATAAAGAGACAGAAGATTACAACAGAGATTTTTGTTGGAAAGTCAATCAAACAACTACAAATAGTTACCACAAAGCACAAAGATGATTACAGAGAGACACAAAATGCTTGTATGTGTATCCTGTGTGTGTTTCTCTGCAGAAATATTATGTGTGCGTGATTGTACGTGTAGCATGTGCTCATGTCACAGTCCCAAGGTCAGACTCATTTAGGAGTGAGCGGTTCTGGGAGATTAGGGTCAGCTGACTGAGTGTGAGGACGCAGTGAGGCCCCTCAAAGCCCCTCCACGGCCAGATGCCTCTATTAGTCGGCCTGGACTCGGAGACCTGGCACAGACAAATCTATAAACCCCTGAAGAGATGCTTTTCCTCAGCAAGGCCAAGTGGGGCTTGTCAGGACTTGGGAACTGACAAATGAATCCCACTGAAAATCCCACTGAGCATTTATTTTAAGACCGGCTGACAATTCACAAATGTTGACAATAGCCAACAGGATCGCACTGGAGCCTCTAATGTTAACTAAGCCCTGATGTTATTTAGCATTCTTTGCTTTCACAAAAAACAACAAGTGCAATCTGTGCCTGCTACACACATGAAGACCATGCACATACTGTGGCATCCTGTTGTTGTCGCGGCGGCTCTTCTCTTAGCGCACAGTTGTTTCAGCCTGGTTCCATTTCGTTCCACTTCACCACTCTGCTCTTTCCCCACCTCCAAGTAACGCGAATGTTGGGAAACTGTTCAAAACTGCACTTGGTGCGTGGGTGGCGACATTATTATTCGCTTTCCCTTGTTCTAGAAATTAAAGCTTTGGTATCGACACTAACAACTGCTGAACTCCCTACATTGTGCAACAGTCAATCTGCTTTCAATCAGCTGCACAAGGTTTCATTTTGTCTGAAGATGACAGACTGGAGGTGGGAGTTTCAACAAAAGAAAAAAACAACTTGCCATTTGGGTTTTGCAGAATCGTTGTACTTTAAATTGAACAACCTTTATACATGCCAGCTTTCATACTGTCAGCAGCATCTCTATTTTGGCCTACAGTATGTTATTGGAAATGAAAGCTGATAATGACCCTGCAGGGGGGCCTGTCGAGTTATTTAAACGTGGTTATAAATTGTGAATATAAACTGATGTCAAAGGGAACATGAGCCAGATATTCAAAGTTGATGAAAAACACGATCTTTTAGACCTTCTGTAATGTTTCTGTGAAGCAGCTGTCGACGCTGAGCTGTGAAATGTTGCAGTACAATCTGTTGTACTGTGTGTGTTATTTCATTCTCACCTCTCCTATTATTATGATAAGATCACTGTTGTGCTTTTGCTAGAAAGCTGAGAAGGAAAAGGTTTAGAAGAGGTTTGTGGATATACTATACTCGTACTTGTGACTAAGTTAAAATAACACTTAAATTAACTTAATTATTTCCTCTTAAAAACCCTCTAAGCAGACACAGTATACTCATTCTGACTGTGAGAAATTAGAGGCTACTGTAGATTTAGAAAATGTCTGATGCGGCATTATTCAGCCTGAGTAAAAATCCTATGTTGCTTTCTTTTATTGTGGCAGAGGGTAAAAAGGGTTATGTTGATGACAAACTGATTGAAAGACATGGTTATTGTGTTTAAATGTGCCTTTTCTACTCTGTTGAAGGGGAACTTTTACGATGGTTACTGTTGATGTTTGTTTGACGATTGAATACACTCACCTCTCCTTCCCGTGTCCACGGTCGGCCATTCTGGGGATACTTCACCTGGGTTTGCCTCTTCTTCTGGCCTCCGTCAGCAAACTTGCACAGCAAAGGCTCTGCAGGGGCTACAGAGTGAGTCAGACAGAGAGGACAAACTCAGAGATGGATTAATCATCTTAATAGCGGGAAAAAGTGAAATTTCCTGCATCAGGTGAAGAGTTACATTTCAAAGATAAGATTTAAATACAGGGTGTTATGCTGTGGCTTGAACAGAAACATAACATAAATCAACTGGACCTGAAAACAGCCCCTTAGCTCTTACATTTATCTCTTCCACCCCTAATCCAAACATCAAAACAACAGCAGTTATCGCACCATCTCTACAAGCCCTTTAACCACACTTCGACAAAAGCAGCCTTGACGTGGAAACAAAGCCACAGGCTAATCATCAAAGCATGGTGAGCGTGGTTCAAACGACAAACCAAACCAGCGTATACTTAAAACGCTAAATAACTCAACACAGCTTGACCTCGGGCCATAGACCGCAATTGTGATTGCTCCAAAGACAACATATCCCTTTTCTGGTCCAGAGAAAGAAGAAAGCCTTGAGTACAAATAGGATTAGCTGAGTGTGACCTCCAATACAAAAGTTCAACACATTCTAACTTGAACCTGATAGGCAGCAGCCCTCAAAACCCTACAGGCCTCTGAAATAGCAGGAAGTGCCTGAATTGGTGCAGGAGTCTGCAGAAGAGGAAAAAAGGCTTTGTTGTGTTTCAATTTATTATTAAAAGCATAGCTTTAGAATTTGTTTAAAAACAAGAAAGTGTGAATAATGGCTTCTATTTCTGGGAAATGCTTCAGCAACAGCATGACTCCACAAAAACAATAAAAAGCACCATCTTAACATAAAGAAGAAAACTAAGAGAAGACATTATGGTGGCTTTTGTAGTCACATATTCATACATATTGAATCACCATGGATCAAAGTAAAGACCGGCCTCTTGGTTACTAAAATCTACAGGGAGCATTTATCTAATGTTGGGTTCAGTTTCCCTCCAAGGAAAGAACTACGAATCAATTAGATGATAATGAAACAAAGATTTTTAACTGGCGATCGCAGAAGATGCTTAGCAACCCTCTGCAAATCATAATAACAGCATGTTCAAATAAAAGGGAATTCAAATGCCATTCAGATGTTGACATTATAAAGACCTACACTGCGATTGCAGCAGTGGAACTCTGTCAGACCAACAAGTGTTCTCTGCAAGCCCTGATTCAGTTTTATAAAGACAACCCTTGACCCTGAAATTAAATAAGCCACCTACTTGTATGCACTGCCTCTCACTTGTTACTTTAATATGTCCACCAAGGCATGTTTGAGTCACTGACTGCATCTTAAAAGATGCTATTAGCTGGCACTCGTGTCTCATTTAACTGGCAATGATTTCCAACTGCAGAGAAAGCCCAATCCTCATTACTGTGTGTAGCTTAGAAATAAATGAGTTCTTAGAAGACATGGAATTCTATGAACTAGCGAAGGTGATATCATCATCACGCCGGTACAGATTCACACACTATGAAATCAAAAAAAAAAGAATAAACTACGCAATTACCTCACCTACTTCAAGAAAAATGATTCTTCGTCTCAGTAAACTGAAAAATGAGAAGCGGTGTTCTCAGCGGAGAAACACATTCAGAGCTCAAGGTTGAGACGAGAGTTATTTGGAATGCCTGGGGCCTGAATTGGTACTCCAAAGGTAAGTAGACGGAGCAACACAGAGCTGCATGATTATACTGCATTTAGGAATACTTTGTCATTATACTGTTGTAACTTGATTTTTATATGAATAACAGGCCACACGGCTGAGCCTCTGTTATAGTCCCTCTCCTTCCCTATTCATCTTTCTCAATCACTCCCCTTCTCTCTCTTTTCTTTTAGCCACTCTGCTCAATGCATTCATATACATTTGGTAAACAGTCCTGTGTGTGGGTGTATGTGTGATGTGTGCGTGTATCATTATGTCTCACCGCAAAACTCAGCGTAGTTTCCTCATGAAAAACAAGAGCTTGGCCCAGAAGGAAATTACAAAAATTGGCCAAGAATTACACGCGATGGATGTTTTTAAATCAAAATGAACAACAAAAGCAGAGGAGATACGGTGTGGTGAAAGATTGGTCACTTTAGCAGAGGGAAGTTATTGAAGTGGCTAAGGCTATTAAAAAAATATGACGGTACTGTCTATTGCTCAGCGTTATCAACTCACTCACTAAAAGCCTCTTTAACGCATTCCTGCTTGTGTTTCTATGGCATCAAAGTAACCCTGAAGATTGTGCTAGATTAGTCCAATAATGCTCAGTTTCATCTATAACGTTGCTCCCAATCATTGTCTATAGAGCGCTTCCACACTTTATACTTGTTGATAGCACCAATTTGAGTTTTAGCACTCCAGTTTTTGGATTTGGGAGAATTTCATTCTTGTTTACTATTATTTTTGGACATCTTAGATCATAGGAATGACGTGTCAATTTACAAAAAATTGGCATAGTTCCCCTTTACAAACCATAGCACTTGTCAAGAACATTTTGTTATTCTTTGTTGTGCAACACTGATGTTTGCATAGCTGTAATAAAAGGATGCATGAAAAGAGAAATGCAGAGGTGGGAAAGAAGACTGAAAACTCCACAGCATCTGTTTCCAAAGTAGCAACAATCTGAACGCAAGTAACTGTGCTGAAACTATTGCTTCTTTTTTTTAATGTTCACTCAACCTTAATAGTTCCTCGGTCACCTGAAAGTATTGTCCCCAGAGCTGGGACTAAGGCCAGAAGAACTAAATTCAGACTTGATTTACTGGTGGAAATGTTTCTGAAATGGTTCTTGGGAACGTATACGTATGTAGAGCTTCCATGAGTTAGGCATAGGTTGAATCCATATTTGGTAATAATGGGCGAGATGAAAACAGGACTATTATTCATACAAAATTGTTTCAAATTCAAATTTTCAAGAATTTCAAGTATTTGTAGAATAGTACTAGGTTCAGAATATGCTAAAAGATATATTTAAAAATGCTGTGGGCAGCATTTAATTGTCAGGTTTATAGGAAAAGGATAGAATGTATTCATTCCCTCACAAAGTTAATTGATGTGTGTTTATTTGCGTGATAAATGATTAAAACTTCATAAGTATGAGAATCTGTGTGTCACAAGGACACACACACACACAGACTGCATGTTGTTTTCTGTTGCCGTTTTGTTTTACTGGCGTGACAGACAGAGAAAGCCACATTGTCGACGTCTGACAACTTGTCAAGTTTATAGTCAGGATGCTCTCTTCTTCCTCTTCTCTAAAGTGCCACACAACGATAGAAACAACTCCTGCTGATCCAAAACAAGTGTTCGTCCTCTGTATTTGCAAGAAAAAGGATACCTCTATGTTTTGAATTGAATCTGTTATTTTTATGCACCAAGCATATCACAGAGACAGCAAAAGGTTTGTGTTTTTGGACTTGAGTGACATGAAAAACTGGCGCCATTTAATGTTAGAATTAGTGATAAAAAGGTGCTAAGTAGTTGATCCTAAGAGAGCAAAATAAAAATGTCAGTTCCCATGTTGGACAGTTGCTGCTAAATTGAATTCACGTCCTTTATGCCCCTCATATGGACGTCCAGTGAGAAAAGCATGCGACATGATAACAGAGGGAAGTTTCTGTGGAGAGCAGACATAAAAATGCACATACACAACAATGTTGCTGCAATCTGTTTTTGTACGAGAGCTCCAGACAGTTAACGCTGGTCCAGTGCTATGGTCCAGTGTTTACATGCACAAACACACCTACACACACACACACACATATACATCAATATTTTTACAATATTTTGGTTGCCGTGGTGCATCTGGAGCTAGGATTTAGTGTTTTTCAGACACTGCTGCAGGTGACCAATATTTAGTTGGGTAGGACATTTGGACAGGCCCATGAAGGGAAAAACGTGTTTCTTTTTTTTTTCTATAGATGCCACATTCTCGGTTACACGGCGTTTAATCCTATTATTATTTAAATCTGACCAATCTGTCAGATTATACTGTCATGGCATCTCACAATACCATCATAATAACATAAAATACAGAGACGAAGTGTTTAAGCTGTAGTTTAAGACAGCAAAATAATTGAAATAAAAGAATGACTTGTAGGATTTGCAAAAAAATATGTTTGATGTGTGTATGTGTCAGTTTATGACTGTGTGCATGTGCTCCTATTTGAGAGAAAGGGAAGTCGATGTTTTTTATAAAACTAATATTTTATGTATTATTTGAATTAATCATTTTTGGTATTTGCCCCAACAGAGCAAATGTAGGGTGAATCAAGTAACATAATGTAACATGACTTTCACTTTTAGTCTTTAGCAGTATGTGTGTGTAGTACTATAGTTCAATATTAATATCATTTCATGTAAAGACACATCAAAAATCCTTTTATTCATGTGATATTGTGTATTTCTCTGAGGGAGAATATTCATTCACAGGCACAGTAATAAATGACATAAATACAGATGATGATAATGACAAAATTAGCGAATGTTATTTATTCCTATGAGTGAAACTTAGTCGCAACACAATCACGCGGCAACAACAACAGCAAAGCCTCCAGAGACGGGATTACCTGTCTGCTCAAACTGGTGCATCGAATTAATTATTCAGCTTGCTTTCACAGTTGCATTACTACAATCTGTTGCATTTCACAAGAGGGCTTTAAAGGGAAGAAGGACATTTTTAATTGTCAGTTTGACCCCTGCTGCTCACACTCTTGCGGCTCTGTAACACAAAGTGATGAATTCATGATGAATTTGGGCACAGCTGTGTCTGCCCCCTAAAATGCGTCACTTTTGGGCATGTCAAGTTAATTAACATTGTCTGAACCAAATATATGGACATCTAAAGAGTTCAGATATGTAAATTCTTAGTAAACAGGACATGGAGTTGAAGAAATGAAATTCAGTCCAAATCGAATGAGCAAAAATGATTGCTACAGTCACGCATTAATCGATCTTTGTTGCCTCTAGCGCAACAATATCCCCTTCTTTCAGTGTTTTTCTTCAGGTAAGGAGTTTGTGTGGAAAATCCAAAC